AAGAAAGAAAGAAAGAAAGAAAGAAAGAAAGAAAGAAAAGTTCAGGCCAGGCCAGTTAGTAGACTGGGTTGGATGGAGTATAGAAAGCCCCGGAGAAATAGCTTGAGCATAGGGTGTGGAAGACTTTGAAACCACGGACAACCGCCATGGCTGATAGGAGTCATTTGACTTGAGGTGGGGACTTATCAGAATTGGGCCTTGGGAACACTGCTCTGGCGACCATGTGAAAGCTGGGCTGGCAGAGTAAAAAGGGAACTGTCCCCTTTCCTCCCCCGAGGTACTTTGTATATCACAGAATGTCCTGTGTGTCTCTGCCACTAGAGAGAGAGCCCTAGAGGGGGGATGCGTGTATCATCACACTGCACGTGCCAGTAGGTGATACAGTAAATCACAAAACACAGCACAGCCAGAGGGCAGGAGATAGGCAGGATGGTTACTGGGGCTGCTGCTGGAAATACTAACACCATTTTGGAATCCATTTAAAGTGTCTTTACCCGTGTTTGCTTTTAGTCTCTGAACAATAAAAACTTTCTGGAAATCTGGGATGTGTAGGAATATATTCAAATCTTCACTCTGTCAATTGCCTTCGTGGCATATTGGGAAATTACGCAACACCCCCAAGCCTTATTTTTTTTTTTAATCTTTAAAATATAGATAAAACTTTGTTATTGGTAATTGTTAACTTACCAAGTAATAATAGTTGCCTGGCTCAAATGAGGAATCTGGCATACAGATACCACTCAAACTTATTTTTTTTAATATTCTTATTTCATTTCATCACACAGGTGAGCGAAGGAGTTGCAAGAAAGACGCTCACATGTCTTGGAGAAGCTCCAAAGCACAGATGGGAGAACACTCAGACTCGCCTGTCTGCAGCCACACCCCGGCGCCTGTGGAGGAGCCCACTCCCTCCCCTCTCCAGCAGGTGGAAGAAGACTCGGACCCCGCCCAGCAACAGCCTCTGCGTCCTTAGAGACCCGGCGGTAGCAGCCCCGCCCGCGCGCTGGGCCCGGTGATTGGCCCGACTCCTGGCCTCCAATCCCCCGCCCCACCATGTTCCCCGCCAGGCTGTCTCTGGTCGCGATCCTGGGAGAGCACAGACTGAGTATCCCTGAGCTGCCTGGGTGGGGAAACGCCGCCTCGGGGGTAAGGCCTCCCCCTCTGTTTCATCCCAGGAAAGGGCTCAGGACTGACGTGCAGCTGCTGGGCAGACAGTGGACACCACAATCACAAACTGTGGTCCTTGAAGTTTCAGACAGTTTCACAGAGGTTGCAGGTTCCACTGGACAGGGCTATCCTGGCAGAGCAGGTCTTTCTTGCGTGCTGGCCACACGCTAAGTGAAGTTGGGGTCTTGGAAAGAGCGCTGGTCTACTTCAGACCTGCACACTAGAAACAGGTCTGTTCTCACTTGCTGTGTGAGTTTGGTCAAATGATACACCTCTCTGGGCCTTGGTTTATTAGTCTGTAAAACCAGCGTTTGGATTAGAATGACCTCTGAAGACTTTTCAATAATAGCAGACTCTGAAAGAGAGTGATCAGCCTGGGGCCAGGTTTATAGAACGTCTGAGTTGCCCTTGGCATCAGATCTGTATAAACATCCAGTACTTATCTAATACTGGATCTCAATTGTAGATTCACTGGATTGTTTCAGAAACACACATCAGCAATAACAACAAAAATCCCTCTTTCCTATGTACAGCGCTCCTTCAGATGTTTTATCTCATTGGATTCACTCTAAAACCCAGGGAATAAAATTGGAATTATCCCGGTTTTGTAAAAGGAGAAACTGAGCATGAGAGCTGAATATAAGATCTTCACATACCCACGAAGAGCCCTGGTTTCCTCTCTCACTTCACAAGAATCACATAAGAAAGGTGGAAGGAAACCACCTGATATCAGAAAGGTAGAGTGCCCAAATGGCTCAGCAGACCAATTTGGTGGACCTCTTGAGTGGGATTCCCAAATCTGCTAATTACTGATTCTATGCTATTGAGTAAGTTGCATAAGTACATTATGCCTGTCCCCTCAACTAAAACAAGAATGATAATCATAATTAGGAATATCTTACTCATGGCTTTATCAGGAATGTCGAGTGAGATAAGATAGGCAAAGCACTTTGTTCTGCTGCTATTTTTGTTGTTATAATTGACAACAGTAAATTGACTAATGGGAAATCCAGACGATGAAAGGTTTACTTATTTTCCAACCCAAGGATTTTGAGAAGCATGTCTTCTGTTTGGAAGACTCCATGTGGATCAGATGCAGTGCCTGAGATGGTGGTGAAAATCATTGGAAGTAAACACTTTTGGTACCTCGTGGAGAAGCCAAAGATGTAAGTTTACTGTTTGAAAAATGTCTGCTTTGCTGGGAAGATAATGAAGTTTGGAGTTGCTGGGTTTTTTTTTTTTAATCTGGAAATTTACATTTTTAAAATGTTGTCCATGGAAAATTAAGTCATGAAGGAATAACAGTAGAAGCAAAATCGTGTTGATAACTTCCATGAGCACTGTTTTCCTGATATTTTTCATCTTTATAATTTCCCTTACTCCTTAATTACTTAGGCAGATTTTCCAAATGGATGAGGAATGCAAGCAAAGAGACATTTATAAATATTAATGGAGTATTTCTGCTGCTTCTCATCAGGTGTGCAATCTACTACATGTAGTAATTTTTTTAGCGGGGGCGGGGGGGGGGTCAGTGTTAGTCAATTTGTTATGAATTAAAGGGGTGGGATTAATAATGAATCATAAATTATAAGATTTTCATTTATTCTTATTTATAGTCTATACTGCTCCAAGCAGGGGCTTCTCAGAGCTTAGCTACAAGGTCTTTCTTCCCTCCAACTCATCACAATCACATGTAAGGGAGGACACTCATGGATCTTTAAAATTCACCAGATATTTGGCACAGAAGCCTATGACTAGGTCTTCCTTCCAGCATTTTGGTGGTTCACAAAAGAAAAAAGAAAGCATGAGACCTGCCTTTGCTCTAGTATCATTCCATAAAGAGCAGCTGGTCAATCGTGGCCTTTCCCTCCTGAGATTATTCCCATAGCTTTTCCATTGGTTTCAGACACCGACAGACCAAACACAGAGACAAACAGATAAGATCTGGCCTCACAAAACAAAGGTGCTGAAAGTGGTGGAAACCAAACCTGGCTGCCATCAGAAACATCTAGAAAACCCTTACAAATAAAGATTTGGAATCTAACCCAAGACCTACTGAATCGGAATCTCTGAAAATGAGGCCATCAGGACCACTGTTATGGAGCATAGGCATTAGCAGGGTAAATTTAACTCCCCACCATCAGTATTGTCAGCCCAGAAAAATTCCAAAGTGAGTGCTATAATCAATTAGTAATGTCTGTCTGGCACAGCAAGGGAGTTTTGCGGCCCATGAGTCCGGCATTTGGGATCCCTACAGAGCTGAGAGATGTGAATTTGAATCCTGGCTCCGTGCCTTCCTGGCCTTTTGGCATTGAGAAAGTTCATTAATGTCTCTGGCTTCAGATTCTACCATCTATTAATTAAGGCTAAGACACATGTATCTAGTAGGGTTGTTATGAGGACCAAATGTGAAAAAGTATGCAAAACACCTTTCCAGTGCCCAGGAATGTATTCAAGATGCTCACTCAGTGGTTCTGTTGTTATTATTGAAGCATATTTTTTCCAGGGATACAAGACATGTAATAAAAAATCAAATCTCATTCTATGGAATGCTTGCCATCCCTTTTTTTATTCTATGTCTGGGCGGCCACTTATCTCTGTTTTGTAGATGAGAAAACTAAGATACTGTGATATAATCATATAATAATCTTACAGTGATAAGATCTACTAAATGTCCGTGCTTGGCGAGGAAAGTACTAGGGTCAGTTTGGATGCCTGGCTCAGTTCTCCTCCCATCCAGAGACAACATTACTACCGCACTAATTCCATTCTGCTCTGGGGTTCTTTCTGCAGCCCCTTGTGTCCCAAATCCCCTTCTTTTTCCAGGAGTATCAGAGTCCAATATGTTCCTAAAAGGGTTGGCTGGGGAGGGTCCTTGTCCTTTTAAATAGGGAAAAATTTCCTTTGTCTTATGCAAAGGTGCCTTTTATTTTCTTCTCTTTATTTTTTTAAATTTCAGAATCCAGGAAACAAAAGACTACATTGGGTTAGATACATGAACTGTGAAATAAAAGACCCAGTTCTTTTTCTTCTATGACAACCGTAAGACAAAAAAGTTTAAAGAACATCAAGAGAGGTCGTTTCGTTTCTGTTTTCTATGGGCTTGATGTTACCGTGGCTGGAATTACATAGGACCATTAATTAACACACTTAGCTAAAATATTTCTGGATAGTTCAAAAATAAATGATTCTCAAAAGGTTCTTGTTGCTGAGGTAAAAACAGACCCACCACTGTCGTGTCAGGTATGTCCTAAAATCTATCTCGGAAGCATTTTAGTTGTGCTACGTGTATACCTTCAGCCCAGGTCTCAAGAGGGCTTATTCTTTGAGCTGAATCTGATGAGTCTGTTAGTCAAAAATCTAGGTAAGAAACAGAAGTGAAAGCCAAAAAAGAAAGAAGTCTCTAAAAGGACAACCTGAATTAAAAAGAAAAATTACAAATTAGTGATGGAAAGAGGTGCCTGGGTGGCTCAGTCAGTTAAGCATCTGACTCTTGATTTTGGCTCAGGTCATGATCTCATGGTTCATGGGATCAAGCCCCATGTCAGGCTCCATGCTGACAGCACACATCCTGCTTGGGATTCTCTCTCTCCCCTCTCTCTGCTCCTCACCAGCTCTTTCTCTCTTGCTCTCTCTCTCTCTCTCAAAATAAATAAATAATCTCTAAAAACAAATTCATAATGGATGGAAAATAGAAATCCTCCTGTATAACCACAATTTAGTTCAGATTTCCTGTAGCCTATGTGGAGAAGGTCGAATAGTATGTCAGACCTGAACGTGATCTTCAAGGTCTAAATCAATGTATTAATTTGCTAGGGCTGCTGTATGAAAGGTCCACAAACTAGATGGCTTAGACAACAGAACTGTGTTGTCCCACAGTTCCAGAGGCTGGAAGTCTGAAATCAAGGGGTTAGTAGAGCCGGGGAAGAATCCATCTCTTCTAGGTGGTTCTCCCTGCTTCTGGCAGTTCTGTGGCTCATGGAAGCACAAATCGAAGATTCACATGGCAGTCTCCCTGTATATGTGTCTGTGTACAAATTTCCCCTTTCTATAAGAATACCAGTCAATTGGATTAGGGGCTCATCCCAGTCTAGTATGACCTCAATCTAACTAATTATATCTGCAACTACCTTATTTCCAAACAAGGTCATATTCTGAGGTCCTGGGGGTTAGACTTCACCATATGAATTTTAGGGTTCAATGCAGCCCATAACAACCAGTCTCCCATTTTATAGATGAGACAAGTGAGGACCCTGTGGGCTTAAAGTGAGGCTGGTTACTAAGAACTAAGAGTGGAATTGAGCTCCCTCCCTCTTTCCTTAATTTAGCCTGTACAGTTATTGACAGATGAAAGAAAAATACTCAATACCCATTTAGTAGTCAAATTCCTCAACAAGTAGATCTGCAGGCTTCAAAGAATAAAACAAGTGTCCCCGAGTTTTGGAATCATCACTTGCCTCCCACATCACCCCACCAGCCTTCCTTTCTCTCTATTTACTCTAATCCACTCATCTAAAGGCTTATTCCCCAAAGGGTGGTCCATGGTAAACTAGCATCAGCCTCACCTGGGAGCTGGTTAGATGCAGAATCCCAGGCCCCTCTCCAGACACAGTGAGCCAGAATCTGCATTTTTGTCAATTCCCAGGGGACTCTTAAGCAACATTACAGTTTGAGAAGCCCAATTTTCAAGTACAGCAAGCATCATCATTCTAAAATGCAGATCTAATCAGGTGCCCCACCTTCAGCCCCAGATTCACTGACCCCCTGCCCTTCGCCCCCGTGGGCTTCCATAGCAACCTTAAGGGACTGTCACACTCTATGATTTCCTATGCATTTCTGGCTCCCCTATTTAACTGTAAATCCTGTGTGCACAATTGCACCCTCAGCACTGAGTACAAAGTCTTTACATTTTGAAAGCCTAATAAATGAACGAGGGCACAGTGGATGCCAAGAAAAATAAAGAGCTAGAAAGACAATGCTTAGTTGCTTTAAATCCAAATCTAAAGGCTCATGTTGCTAAAGTATTATGCAGATGTAACTATGGAACTCTGAGGAGTAATCTTCCAAAGCTCATCAAGAAGAAGATAATGCCAACTGACAGGAGACAAATATTCCCATTTTCTAAAAGGAGATAAAAGTATGTAATAACACCACAAAACCTGAGGCTTGTGGACAATCCCTGACAAAATTGCAGGCCAAAGAATGAAATATATTAGTTGTGAAAACAAAACACGAAAGTGATGGTCACTAAGGGTTGGTACATGTTGACTAAAACCAGATTATGCCAACATGGTGGTGACTGAACAATTGATGTCAACACTACGTGTTGGAGGTGGGGAGGTTAAGAGGATTTGTGTGTAACCCTGTTCTTAGTCAACATTTTTTTTAATCTTTATTTATTTTTGAGTGAGAGAGAAAGAGCATGAGCAGGGGAGGGGCAGAGAGATGGGGAGGCACAGAATCTGAAGCAGGCTCCAGGCTCTGAGCTGTGAACATGGAGTCCAATGCAGGGCTCACACTCATGGACCACGAGATCATGACCTGAGCTGAGGTCGGACGCTTAACCGACTGAGCCACCCAGGCACCTTGACCTTTTTAAATCCATAACTGAAGGAAGACAGACAAATAACTTCAGTAAACATGTAGGAAGAAGAATGCTGGAAAGCCCTGGCAGGAAACTGAGCTAAAACCCACAAGACAAAATCAACGGAGATACACTCAAAGTCTGTGTTTAGATAAGAGTATGTGTAAATGCTTCTATGGAATAAATGTCTGGGTTTTACTTGTTGTGAAACAATAGAAAATAGATATGTTAGTCTCTGCTCCCAGTTCCTGGCACAGAGCTCCTAAACCCCTTGCAGTTTCCTAGGAGATAACAAGAGCACCAGGTGCCTCTTCTGTTCTAGTATTCGGTCTTTGACTGTGGTTGCTGACACAACGCTCCTAAATTCCTTGGAATTTCCTGGGTGGTGTGGTGTCTCTGTTTCCATGAGGATACTCTCAGTGGGCCTCTGGACAGTTTCAGGGTGGAGGCTGGTCACCAGAAAGACCAAGCCGTGATTAAGAACAGAACTTTCAGCCCTACCCTCCATCTTTGGGGAAGGGGGAGAGGGGCTGGAGATTGACTTAATGATTGAGCATAACTAGGTGATGAAGCCTCCCTAAA